TTTTTTTTTTTTTTTTTTTTTTTTTTTTTTTTTTTTTTTACTTTTTAAGCATAGCAGTCAACATTTTTGTTCTTTGCCATCACAGTCTGGAATTCATCTGATTCATTAGTTTCTCCAATTTGATTGCTAGGGCCATGTTTCCTTTAATCTTCAATTTTCCTGACATGAATGCCACTGTTGGTTTTAGTTTTCCTAAAATGAGAAAATAAGAGAGGTAAGCAACTATTTAGTGCCCTTAGGGATGTATCACTTCAAGAATATGAATCATAAAAAGACTCTCTTTGAGTTCTAAAACTCTCAGAAGCATAGAAATTTCTATTACAGCCTTTTATATCAGTATCTAGGGAATTTCAATTCCTAGATTTATATGTTAACAAAATCCTATAACACAAGAGGTAATGTAAAAAATATCAACAATCGGCAAAGATTATGGCAAAAAGCTGAAGATGGAATATTTAAACATCCTCTAGTAGTTCTACACTAAAAGAAACATGGTGGGGCTGGGATTGTAGCTCAGTGATAGAGGGCTCGCCTGGCATGCATGATGCTCTGGGTTCAATCCTCAGCACCACATATAAATAAATAAATAATAAAGTCCATCAACAACACCAACAAAAAAGAAGTAAAAGAAACAGAGTCCAAGTAAATTCTGGTAAACAAATACTATCATTGTTTAATTTTCCAATCTATTATAGTTTATTACACTTTTAGCCTTTTCAACGTTTAAATTCGGGTAATTAAATAGTGTAAATGCATAAAATATTTTAAGTGACCATTAAATATAATGTATGGACACAGAAGTATGTGCTAATATTATTTCAATACTAGAAATAGAAATGCCACAGTATTAAAAAAATGTGAGTGTTAAAACACATGAACAAAGGGATGAACCGTAGCTAATAAAGAAGATAACAAATATTAGCTCTGTGGAGAAAAGGAGCTATCTTTTTTTGTGGGGGATGGGGACGGGATACTGGGGATTGAACTCAGGAGCACTCAACCACTAAGCCAGATCCCCAGCCCTATTTTGTATTTTATTTAAAGACAGGGTCTCACTGAATTGCTTAGGGCCTCGCCTTTGCTGAGGCTGGCTTTGAACACGCAATCCTCCTGCCTCAGTCTCTGGAGCCACTGGGATTACAAGTGTGCACCACTGCACCCGGCTAGGAGCTTTGTTTTTTATCTGCTATTTTATTCCAGTGTCACTCACAGTCTGGCATACAGTGGAATTCATGAAAAGAACTGAGGCTCAGGAGAGGATTTTGACTTGCCCAAGGTCACATATTGTGTATGTAGAACTCATTTATGATTTCCTGCCTTATTGTATGCCAGTTTATATGTTGCTCTTATGTCCTAGAAGGCACGCTACATGTCCATGCATTAGTTGTTCACCCCACCCTCCACCCAGGTACCACATACAGTGTACAGGTTAATGTATTTTGTACATCAATTAGTAGACGCCTTTAAATTATTCTAAATAAGGGTTACAAACCCTCATAAATTGGTTACAGATGGAAAGAATCAAGTCCCCTTCTTTTTTGAGCTGTGCCTCTCTAAAAGAAAATGTTAAAACATCTAAACTTATAAATAATAGAAAGAATAACATGACTTACATGGAAGATACTGGAGGGTCTTTATTCTTTGAAGAAACAAGAACAGCCCCTCCAAAAACTTACAAACTCTACCATCTGGGCAACTGTGCTCACTGCTCTGCCACTCTATAATATAGTGAAATCTATCAGTATATAACACAGCTTCCAATCAGCTTTATAAAGCTTTGTCCATAGATGAATGGATATCATGAGACAAAAGAAAAAAAAAGCAAAAACATGGATAAAGGGAACTTAAAGAGGAAGGATGCATGTGCAGAAGAAAGAAAACTAAAACAAGCAAAGGAGACCAGAGCACAGGAAAGATGGAAAAAAAAAAAAGGCGGGGATGAACAAAGGAAGGGGAAAGAGGGAGGGCAAAGAGAAAACCAAAGATAGTAAGAGATGGGAAGAGGTGAGTGGAGCAGAGTGAGGAAGAGAAAGGAGGCAGCCAAAAAAGAAAACCATTGGAAAACAAAAGTGAGGTCTTGAAAATTAAAGTTTTGATTCTTAGTATTAAAATGCAATAGAAAGTAAGTTGATCTCCTGGAAAGTAAAATAAGTTATACAATAGAAGAAAATGATGATGAAATCACATCTAACCTTTTCTTCAGAAATATCAAAGAAATACTATAAGAACATTTCAAGGACCCAAGCACCCAGGAGAATCACAGAAAAAAAGACCGGGCCACCTTGAATCACTGTGAAATTTTGGAACACCACAAAGATGAATCTGATTCACTTTCAGAAAGGGCAAGATTAAGAACAAGAATAGGATCAAATTCTCAACTGTAATCTTAGAAGATGGGAGTCAAAGCTTCAAAATTCTAAGAGAAAGTGAATTTCAACTCAGATGTCTCTACCCGGCCAATCAATCAAAAGATTGTTAGTAGAATAAAAATAGCTTCAGAGACATATAAAAAGTACCTCAAACATATCCTCTCACATAGCTAGAGGAGAACATGTGTCGCCATAATAAAAAAATGTAAACCTAAGAAAGAAGACACGAAATCCTGGAAATAAATTCAATGTTGAGGAGTTAACTGAACTTCTAAGACAACAGCTGTGGAGCAGCTTGTAGATCTACAGTTCAGACTGGAACATGAAGACAAAGGGCTCCAGGAAAAAGTAGCCTGAAGGACAGTCTGACACATCTGACAACAGAGCAACTGCATCAAGTAGTTGTGAGGGGGAAAGCCCTGGGAAGATCATAGGAAGGTTTTGCTAAGTAGGTATGTGTCCCTCCAAATTCCGTATCCTGAAGTGTCAGGAGGTGGGGTCTGTGGGAGTTAATTAGGTTTAGATGAACATTTGAGGGTAGAAATTCCATGAGAGAATTAGTGCCCTTTATAAAGGGGCAACAATTCAGTAGCATTTAAATAGTCACAACATTGTACACAACCACTGTATCTTCCTAGTTCCAAAACATCTTCTTTATCCCAAAAGGAAACCCTATATGGATTTCACATCAGTAATTCCTTCTCTCTCCAGACCCTGACAAATACCAATTAACTATTTCCAGAGACTTACCTACTCTAGATATTTTATGCAAAGGATTCACACAACATGAGATCTTTAGTGTTTCACTTCTTTCACTTAGTGTAATGTTTTCAAGGTTCATCCATGTTGGATGAACTTCCTTTTTATGGTTGAAGGTTATTCCATTGTATATAGTGTATACATAGCACAAGTTGTTCATTCATCTGTTGATGGACATTCGGGTTGTTCCACCTTTTGGTTACTGTGAATGGAACCTTTGTGAGCAACACATGTGCCTTTATTTATTTATTTATCGAGTGTCTATTTTCAAATCTTTTTAAGAGTAGAAATACTGAGCCACATGTTGATTATATATTTAGCTTTACCTATACATTTACAGGTTTAACTAAACCCATATATCTTAAGGTCAATTGATCTTCAACAAGAGTGCCAAGACCATTCAATGAGGGAAAGAACTGCCTATTCAATGGTTTTGGGATAAGTGGATATGATATCAAAAGAATGAAACCACTGGAAGCTACTGGAAAATGTGTATCAAACCATATACAAATTTAATTCAAAATGGATTGTAGACTTAAGTCAGAGTTAAAACTAAAAATTCTTAGAAGAAAATTTAGTGGTAAATATTTAACCTTGAGTTTGGCAAAGATTCTTAAATATGACACAAAAAGCATAAGCAACAAAAGAAAAAATATATAAACTGGTATCTATCAAAATAAAAACTTTAGCTAGGTGTGGTTGGTTGTACATGCCTATTAATTCCAACTACTCAGAAGACTGAGGCAGACGGATCACAAATTCAAAATCATCCTGGGAAGTTAGCAAGATCCTATCTCAAAAAATAAAATAAAAGGGCTAGGATACAGTTGAGTGGCACAGCACTAGCCACTCAACTCATGTAGAAAGCCCTAGGTTCAATCCCCAGCACTGCTAATAAATAAATAAAAATTTAAAAATATTTGCTTCAAAATATTCATCAAAAAGTGAAAAGATGGGCTAGGGTTGTAGCTTAGTGGTAGAGAGCTTGCCTAGTATATGTGAGGCCCTGGGTTCAAGCACCCGCCCCCAACCTGGGAGGCAGAAACAAATACACAAATAAAGGGCTACATTTCCAATCCTAAGCCTGCCTACCCTGCCTTTCTGCAAAAGCACAATAAAGGCTCTTGCTCACATTTAAAAAGAAAAAAAAAGAAAGTGAAAAAAAACTACAAAAAATGGGAGAAAGTATTTGCAAATCACACTTTTGTAAATATACAAAGAATTCTTAAAACTCAATAACAAAAAGATAAATAACCTGGGCTGGGATGTAGCTTGGTAGTAAAGTGCTTGCCTAGCATGTGCAAGACCTTAGGTTCAATACCCAGCACCATAAAAAGAAAAGAAACAAGATGACAACCCAATTTAAAGATGAAGATCAGAGAAGAAGAAAGTTATACATATGACCAATAAACACATGAAAAAATGGAAAACGTTAGGTATTATTAGCTACTATGTAAATGCAAATCAAAACTACCAGATGCAACTTCATATCCATTAGGATGGCAATAACAAAAAAAATAAATAAATAAACAAAAACCCTATAAAATTAAAAAATAATAGGTGCTGATGAGGGCAAGGGTATGAAGAAACAGAAACCCTTATGCATTGCTAATGGAAATGTAAATAATGCAGCCCCTTTGAAAAACAGTTTGGCAATTCTTTGAAAACTTAAATGTAGAATTACTATATGACCCAGCAATTCCACTTTGGGGAAGAGACCTATCACAAATGTCCACACAGAAACTTGCCTATGAATGTTTGTAGGAGCATTATTCCTAACAAACAGTAGAAACAAACTAATTGTCTGTCTGCAGATGAATGGATAAACAATGGAATTTTACTCAGCCATAAAAAGAAATGAAGTGCTGATGCATGCTACAGCTTGGATGAACCTCAAAAACATTATGCTAGGTGAGAGAAGCCAGATGCAAAAGATCACATATTATATGATTCTATTTATATGAAATAGCCACAAAATGTAAATCAGTAGAGAAAGAAAGCAGATTAGTGGTTGCCAGGAGGAGGCAGGAAGGGGTAGTGATTACTTAATGGTTCAAGGTGTCTTCTGGGGTGGTGAAGAAGTCCTGAAACTACAGAAGTGGTGGTAGCATTGTTAATGCTTTAAATGTCATGGATCATTTCAAAATGGTTGTTTGCACATTTGAATTTCACTTCCTTTAAAGAGAGAGAGAGAGAGAGAGAGAGATTGAAGTACTAAAATATGCTACCTCAAGGATGAAACCTGAAAACATTGTAAAACTAAGTGAAAGAGATCAGTCACAAAAGATCCCATATTAAGTAATCCTATTCATATCTAGGGAAAGAAAGTTGATTAGTGGTTGTTTAGAGCTAGAGGTGGGAATAGAGAGATAGGGTATGAGGTGTTTTTTGGTTTTTTTGTTTTGTTTTTTTTTTGGTGATGAAAGTGTTCAAAAAGCAACTGTGACAAACCACTGAATTATAAATCTTTAAATGGGTGAAATGTGTGAGTATATGAATTACACCTTGATGAAGACATTAAAATCAAAGCTATTGACATATAACAAGATACTGAATTAGTAATTAAAAATCTTCCCACAAAATCTGAGCTCCAAATGGCTTCACAAATTAATTTACAGGATACTAAATCAATACACAAAAATTAATTATATTTATGTGCATCAGGAACAGGTAATTCAAAAATAAAATTAACAAAACAATTCCATACACAATAACATAAAAAAGAATAAAATGCTTAGGGGAAACAACAACCATACTGGAAAAAATCATATTAAAGACTTTATCAAATCAAAACACTTTTGTAATATAAAATATACTACTATGAAAATGAAAAGACAAACCACAGACTGGGAAAGAGTATTTGATAAGGAACATATATCCAGAATTTATAAATACTCCTACCACTGAAAATAAAAAGACAATCTTGATTTCTTCTAATTCAATAATAAAAAGAACTCAATTTAGAAAGGAGCAAACTGTAAGGATAGTTCACCAAATATACTATAAAACATAGGAAAGGATGTTCAACATAATTATTAAGGTTATCCAAGTTAAATGTAAGTTAATGCTCCCTTCGGCAGCACATATATAAAATTGGAATGATACAGAGAAGATTAGCATGGCTCCTGCACTAGGATGACATGCAAATTTGTGAAGTGTTCCATATTTAACAAATAAAAATAAAAAACCCATATGACATACTACTACATACCTACTGAAATGCCTATAATAAAAAAGATAATCATAAGTGTTGGTGAGAGGGGGGCTGGGGTCATGTGACTCAGTGGTAGAGCACCTGCCTAGCACATATAAGACCCTGGGTTCCATCCGCAGCACCACATAAAAATAAACAAATAAAATAAAGGTATTGTGTCCAACTACAACTAAAAAATAAATATTAGAGAAAAAAAAAGTGTTGGTGAGAATGTGGAGAAATTGGAACCTTCATACACTGTTGTTAGAAATGTAACAATGGTGCAGCCACTTTACCAGTTTGGTTGTTTTTTTTTCTTTATTATTTTTTTTAATAACTTTGTTTATTTTTTAGGTGGTGCTGAGGATTGAACCTAGTGCCTCACACAGGCTGGCAGGCGCTCTACTACTGAGCTACAACCCCAGCCCTTGGTTGTTTCTTAAAAAGTTAAATCAACTTACCATATTACCCAATGAAATTCACCAAAGAGGAATGAAAATATACATCCATACAAATACATGTATGATGATATTCAGAGTAGCAATATTCATAACAACCAAAAACTTGAAACGATTCAAATATCCATCAGCTGGTTAAGGGTAACAGTGTGAGGATAGAGATAGAGCTCTACAACAGAATGCTTTGCACCCATAAGAAGGAAGTGAACTGCTGAGACATGCTACAACACAGATGGCTGACTCTCAAAAGCCTTATGCTAAGTGAAAGAAGCCAGGTGCAAAAGACTTCAAATTTTCTGATTCCATTTATACAAAATATCTGTAGAGACAGAGAACAATAATGTTTGGCTGGCTGAGGGCGGGGTGGAGTACAGTGGAAATAGGTGACAACTTCAAAGATGATTTTTTTTGGTATAAGGAAAATATTGTTAAATTATGTTGTGGTAATGTTTGACCAACTCTAGAAATTTACTAAAAATCATGTACATGTAACGTAAAATGATGGATTTTATAGTATGTACATATAACTGATAATGATGAATTTTATAGTATGTAATTTTATACTTCAACAATACTATTTTTTAAAACTTTGAAAAATAGCTATTAAGTACAATACACTCCCTTCCTCCCTAACTCCCTCCCTCCCTCCTTTCTTCCTTCCCTTCCCTCCCTCCCTTCCTTCCTTCCTTCCCAGAGACTGAACCCAAGGCCACTCAACAACTGAGCCACATCCCCAGCCTTTTTTTATATTTTCTTTTGAGACAGGATCTCACTAAGTTATTTACAGCCTCACTAAGTTTCTGAGGCTAGCTTTGAACTCGAAATCCTCCTATCTCAGCCTCCCAAGCCTCTGGAATTATAGGTGTGCACCACCTCACCTGGCACAAACACATTTCCTTCCTTCCTTCCTCCCTCCTTCCTTCCTTTAAGAGACAGTCTCTCTCTCTGTTGCCCAAGCTAATCTCAAACTCCTGGGCTTAAATGATTCTCCTGGCTCAGCCTCCCTAGTAGCTGGAACTACAGGCACATACCACTATGCCTTGCTAAAATTTATTTCTATCTTATTGATTTACCACACAGTGGCCTCTGCTGGCCAAAAGAAGAGATTGTGATAATTTGTTTACTAGCTGCTTTAAGTTTTTATATTCATAATGTATCTACTATACAAAAAGGCATAGAAATGTCTATGGTTTCTAAAAGTAGAATTCATAGGCTGTAAGGTCTAAATTGTACCCATTTAAAGAAAAGCAGATGAGATCAATAGATAAGAATGAAAGAGCAAACTCACTTGCTCCCAGTTGAAACCATTGCTACAAAATACATCTCATAATAACTTACATCTTTTGAAAAATATTCAAAGGCTGGCCTACCTCTCCTAGTCAATGTAAGAGCATATTCACAGAAATACATAAGCGAAAAGCCCATTATTTCTAGTTTATGCTATGTAAGGACAGGTAAATTAAAGAAGTCATTGATTCACCTTTGATGATCATCAGAGCACAATAATTAAAAGAATGAGTTTTGGGGAGTTAGCTTGGATTCAAATCCTGTGTCCAACATTTATCACTCCCTATCTTGGGCTTGTTATTTAATTCATCAAAGTCTCAGTCTCTATCTTCATAAAATGAAGAATATATTTTATCTCAAAGGACAGTAATTATTGGATATAATTACTGTCATTTCAGTTTACAAGTTGACAATAAATTTTTAAATGATCTTTAAGTTTAAAAAATATTCGTAAGATCCATATTCACTAAAAATTTATCAAATACTTTTGTGTCCAAAACATGTTTAAGCTCTATGAAGAAAGTATTTAAAACCCTAAACACACACTAAACTATTTAAAATGAATAAAGAGATAACCATTAATACTGAAAGATGCTCTATAATGCACAATGTGAAGATTACCAAACAGTAGTACAATCTTATTTTTCAGTAGTATCATCTTGTTTTTATAAGCATACATTATATTATATACATTCACATGCACACACACAAATATATATATGTATGATGCTACACTAAATTAATTGATGGTCATTTTTCAGTGGTGTAATAAAAAATAATTGTTTTCTTTTTTCTTAAGCATATTTTCTTATTTTTGTATGTTTAACCCTACTACAAGGAATGGGGAAAGTTAAATAAATCTTGATCATAAAGACATCAGATTGGCTCAAACTGAATGCAGGCCACTGGCATCCTTGATTAGAATTGGAAAGCAAGACTTACAGGGTTCAGGATACACTGTGATCCTACTTGTCAAGATTAAAACAGAACAAAATATGCATAACATTTATAATTCATTATATGAAAGACTTTGGAATATTATAATACCTTAGTTTAAAGTGCTGCTAACACTTTAGAATTTGTTAATGAACGTACCAATTGGAATAGAGTTCTAAGAATAGAAAACAGAACAAATTATCCTTTATTTTTTTCTGACATTGTTAGAAGTAAAAGGACAGACAGAAAATCATGCAAAAGGTTCTTGAGTTGGGGGTTCCACAGAAAGCAGTGCCGCTGGGCCATGGCAGAGGGCTGGCATTTTCTTATTGCAACAGCTGGCAAGACTAAAAGCATGACCCACTCTCAATAAATGAACTGCTACTGAATATGACATCTCCAGTAACCATGGCATTATTGGAAATATCTTAATCCAGCTATCAGAATGAAGCACACCTAGGAGTCTGTCTGAACTCTCCCTGTTTCTAACATTATATCTTATATTAGCTTCTCAGTCAAAAAAAAAAAAAAAAATTCTGCCATTTTCCATTTGTTGAGTAAGACAGAAGTGACCATAGGGGCAACAGTAAGAATAGCCTTCCCCAAACTATGCTCTTCAACATAAATCGTGGCTGAGATTCCAAAACAAACATTAATGAGTCTTGATTCTTTGGAAAAGAATAACGTAAAATAATAGAACTAAATTCTCCATGAACAACAAGCAAACTAACAAAATTGAAAACTTACCTGAAAACATTTTGACAAAATCATCAGTGGACATACTCATCACCACATCCGCCTTATCAGAGGGCTCTCCATGTCCAACATTCCCACCCCTGTTTTTCAAATCCAGAAACCATGTGCCACCATCTTCACCTATATAGAGATTAATATATAAAAATAAACAATTATTATGATTAGAATAATCTTCCAAAATGCTATTTCCTGGATTAAAATTCTCTGGCCTCTAATAATCAAACAGCAAATATTTATTGAGCACTTATTTTGTTTCAAGGTGCTAGGTTCAAAAGAACCTTCAATAAGATAAGAGAAACACTGTTCTCTGGTGTGGGGCAAGGGCTCAGTGGTAGAGCGCTTGCCTAGCATGTGTGAGGCACTAGGTTCGATCCTCAGCACCACATATAAATAAATAAAGGTCTATCAACAACTAGTAAAATGTTAAAAAAAAAAAAAAAAACCACTGTTCTCACAATAAGAGAGGAAATGGAAGGTGATGTATGAACATACTAATAAAAAAAGAACCGGGATTACTAAGTACCAGTAACAGGAGAGAATGGGAAGTTATTATTTCAAGAGTATAGAACTTCAGTTTGGGATGATGAAAAAGTTTTGGAGATGGTTGTAAAACAATGTGAATGTAACTGTACTCTTGAAAGGAATTAGCAACTTTTATTTGTATTTTACCATAATAACAAAAAATTGATTTAGCTGAGTATATAGCTCAGTGGTAGAAGGGCTCACCTAGCATGCTCAAGACCATGGTTCAATCCCCGACACCCAACACACCTAGGGGGGAAAAAAAGCACTAGGGCCAGGAAAGCCCAGTTGAAGCTGAACTTTGAATGTTAAGTAAGAATTAGTTAGTTGGACAGGGAAGGGGGAAAATACCTCAGGCAATGAAAACAGGATATGTAAAACAAAAACAAAACCATCAACAGAATTAAGTGGGCAGGATCCCAGAGGCTCAGGAGGCTGAGGCAGGAGGGTCACACTTTCAAAGCCAGCCTCAGTAACTTAGTGGAGTCTCTAAGAAACTCAGACAGACCCTGTCTCTAAATAAAATATAAAAAAGGACTGGGGATGTGGCTCAGTGGTTAAGTGCCAGTGCCCCTGAGTTCAATCCTCAATACAAAAAAAAGGAGGGCATGAAGCATGTGTGAGGAACTAGACCTGAAAACAGTACAGTAGGACTGGAGGACAGTGGCATCAGACTCACTCATAAGGCACTCTCGGTGGGGGACACAGTGAGCCACGTAAAGGATTTAGTAACTTCATCCCTCATCCTTTGTCACCATGGAAGGAAAATGACACAATAAGGTTTGCATCTTAAATAGCTCACCCTACCTTCAGTGCAGGTGATACATTAGAAAGGGATGAAGAAGATGGAGAAGACTAGTAAGGACATTGGTGGGATCATTTGTGAGCTTGAAGGTGATCCCTGGATCAGGATCGTGGCCATGGAGATGAGGACAAATGGGCATATTTGAGAGAAATTTTCAAAGCAGAACCTCAAAGCCAGAAAACGGACCAAGTATGCAGAAGAAAAGGTGGGCTGTGTGCACAGGATTGATCTGCTAGTTTTCTGGCTTCGGAACTTGGGCAAAAATGGGTGTTGGGTTTACTGAGAAAGGACTAATTAGAAGAACAGCAAATGCAGGTATTGGAAATATTGTGTTGTTTTGAACATTTTCAGATAGAGGTATATTTGGGACAGCCAAATAAAAATGTCAAATGAAGGACTGGGATTGTGGCTCAGCGATAGTGGGCTCACTCAGCATGTGCGAGGCCCTGGGTTTGATCCTCAGCACCACATAAAAATAAATAATAAATAAAATAAAGGTATTGTGTCCAACTACAACATTAAAAAAAAAGTCAAATGAAATCCGACTAAGCTAGAAATGTAAATATATGACTAATCAGTTCATATGGTCATTGAAACCAGGGGATGATTGGAGTTTCCTCAAACAAATCTGTATAGAGTATAAGGAGTGCTAAGATAGCGACCTAAAGGCAGTGTTAAGGGAAGGATAGAGGAGAAGCATCTAGCAAAGGAGATGGGGAATAAAACCAAGGAAAGGGGGCATTTCCAGAAGGAAGGAATAGCCAACAGCCTCGGAAGCTGCAGTGTGGTCACAGGTAGGATTGACAAATGCCCACTGGTGGCATGAATGTCCATCCAGGTCCCTGGTGAAAGTCAAGTCTATGGAATAGGGAGGGATAAATGATATGAGAGCAGTGTCCAGAATGTGAGTTGCAGATGAAAGTAAGTTTGGCTCTGAAAGGGAGAGAAAGGGTGTGTGGTTTGTTACTGCTGCTATGCTCTGTTTTAAAGACAGAATAGGCTTGGAAACATTCAAATATCACTGGGAAGGAGGCTGCAGGATGAGCAGGTTGAAGAAGGCATGATGAACAACATAATTCCTGAGATGGACAGAGAAAACAAGACCTAGAATTTTGCTACTGAAAGTGACATTCATGAGGTGTAATACTGTCACCACCTGTCAGAAATCACAATCTTAGACTCTACCCCAGACCAACTGGATTAGATTCTGCATTTGAGTAAGACTCTAGGCACTCAGGAGAGTACAGACATTAAAGATGGAGGGATGTGCTCCATTATACAGGAGGGAAGGAGGAACCTATAATGGTTAATTTATATCTGATGGTAGGAAGTGGAGCAATTTCTGTCTGTAGCTTTCTGAAAGGGTTTCAAATAGTTGCTGTGGAAAATAAGGCAGTGGCTGAAAACAGAATTCTGAGGTGCTACTTGAAGAAGTATTACTTGAGGTACCATTTGAAGAGGGACACTGATGAACTTCTACTGGTGCAGATCTGATTTTTTTTTTCCCTTTTCTTCAACAGGGCTTAGCAGCCTTGATGCAACTATGAAGCCCTCAAATAGTTTGATGATTCAACTGAGACTACAGGGCCTTTGACAGATAACAACATGAAGACAAAGGGTCTGGGACAAGTTTAGGACACAGGCTAGAGAGTGACTGAAGCAATGAACCATGGATTCCAAGGACAAAAAGGAAGTGAAAACACAAAGGCAAGAATATGTTAAATAGGGCTAGGGATGTAGCTCAAGCGGTAGCACGCTCGCCTGGCATGCATGCGGCCTGGGTTCGATCCTCAGCACCACATACAAACAAAGATGTTGTGTCTGCCAAAAACTGAAAAATAAATATTAAAAAAAAATTCTCTCTCTCTCTTTAAAAAAAAAAGAATATGTTAAATAACCCAGGAGACACGGAATGCAAAAGTTTCTGTATGGAACTGTGGTAGTTACTTCTTAAGACTACCATTAACCTGTGTTAATTTTACTATGTGGAAAAGAAAAACATTAAGAGGTTTTAAAAAGCTGACTATACTCAGACTGATCTGAGTAATATCAAAGATAAAAATACTAAATTGCCCACGATTGATAAATTATTGCACTGCACTCCCTGTCATGATGCATAGGCCTCTCAGCATAGAATTTCTTCTCCATTATCAAGATGTTATTTAACACTGGAAGTATATGTAATAAAACTATTTTGCATGCATCCATATTCATTGATCTTAGCTTAGAAATCAACAGTATTCTTGAATGTCTACATTCAAGCATCTTAAATACAGTCAAGTATTCAGGTTATCACTATTGTAGACTGATTTTCTTCCAAAAGAAACATTCCACCTTGTTTCATAATAAACTCAGATTATCCAACACAGTCCTTACCTGAGAGTTCAAACTGATAGATTGCTTGTGTGGCTTTAACCACATCATCACTGAGAGAGTCCTTAACAATTCTAAATGTTTCTTCCACAGCTCCAAAATGTGCTTTTGACTGTGGCTGTGGCTTCTCTTCTTTGGCTTCAGGAACAGCACCTGCAGAATATTATTCATGTAAATGGCCTTAAAGCCACACACAAGATTAATTAGTAAGCAAGAGAGACATGCTACCAAATAGACCTGTTTGACCAAATAACTTTAAACACGTTAAGTAGCATATAAAAGTATAAATCAAAGTGATAGAATAGAAGCCAAACATATGAGTTATAACTATGAATGTAGTAGCTTATACTCTCTAAGGAAAGGGCTGACTTTCAGAACAGGTTATAAAAAACAAAACAAAGTGGCCTGGGATTGTGGCTCAGTGGTAGAGCACTCTCCTACCACATGCAAGGCGATGGGTTCGATTCTCAGCACCACAAAAATAAATAAATAAATAAAGGCATTGTGTCCAACTAAAAAAAAATTAACAAAACAAAAAAACCTACTACTAAACAATACAATGTTTATAATAAACAGACCTAAACAAAACTACTGGAGTTTTAGGAGTCATAATTAATCACTTTTTAATATTCTCTTTGAGTTTTTAAAAAATATTTCTAGTTGTCCATGGATCTTCATTTTATTTATTTATTTATTTGCAGTGCTGAGGATCAACCCCTCTACCACTGGGCCACAACCCCAGCCCTATTTGAATATTAAAACCAAATGAGAAAAAAAGACCTTGAAGTCAGAAAAATGAAGATCAAAATACCAACTATGGAATTATTGGAGTTAAAGTGGAGATTGTAGCTTTAATCATCAGCCAAGTGAACTTTGTAATCACTTTCCCTCTACATTAAATTTATTCACCCCATCCCTTTATCCATGGATTGAACTTGCTGCATCCTCCCATTAGGGGTTAGAAATGTTGTGGGCAGGGCTGGGGATGTGGCTCAAGCGGTAGCGCGCTCGCCTGGCATGCGTGCGGCCCAGGTTCGATCCTCAGCACCACATACAAATAAAGATGTTGTGTCCACGGAAAACTAAAAAATAAATATAAAAAAATTTTCTCTCTCTCTCTCTTTAAAAAAAAAAAAAATGTTGTGGGCAGAGCTTATGTGAACACCAAAGACAGCCTGCTCAGAAGGGTCAGAACAAGGCAAGGTCACTTTCTTCTCCCCATCTCACTGGCTGAGGCTAGTGCCTCCCACTAGACAAAAAGGGAGGTCAAACTGTCAATCTGGTGATGGCTCCCCTGCCTGCAAACACGAGGCTGGAGGAATAGAGACTCACCTATAAGACTTGCATCACTTAACCAACTGCTTAAAACAACTCGGCATATGATTAGCCGGGGGGGAAGGCACAGTTCATAGGACTGTTCTGCTCCCACATCATGGTGCTGTCCCCCAATGAGTTCCTTTTTTTTTCCCCTCCTGGAATCACTTAGAGGAAATTTAGTAGTTGCCCTCAGATACAGGTAAGAACATTTCATTAATTAACTCCAAGGGAAAACTGACCTCTAGGCTAAAAATAAAATTCCCCATCTATTTCTTCATAAATTATACCCTGCCATCTTATCCAGAACAACTCACCAAAGTTATGAAATGATGTCTAACTGACAGCATAAAGATACTGCATAAGTATACCAAATGTAAGTTACCTTCCATTATAATGCTTTCAAAGACAAATATAAAATTCTTCTTCTCTTTAAAGTTCAAGTCCAAGCAAAAATTAAAGATAAAATCCTTAAGATTCAATTAAGCAAATGAGATAGACTACTCTTTTTTCTTTTAGTCAGTTTTATAATTGTTTTTAAATTCACTACAATGTACTCTTTCATTGCCTGCTTCCAGGTCAAATAACTTCTAGTGCTTCTTATGGCATGGCACTGCTTTTTACTAACATACAACATAGATATAAAGAGAGAGATTGTAAGTATACAGCTAATAACTTATCAGATGGCAAAAGCCCTTAGTCGTCACCATCTAGGTCAAGAAGCAGGATATTAAAGGTACCCAAAAGCCCAATCCATGCCCTCTCCTCTGAATGGTTGATACCATTCAGTTTGCCTTATTTTTACCTTCCAAAAAATGGAAACAATCACATAGTTTCTATTCTTTTATGTCGGTCAATCCTTTCAAACCCTTCCAAAAATAAAGAGAAGGGAATACTTCCTAATTCGTTTTGTTGAGGCCATTGTTATCATGAGGCCAAACCAAAACAGGAAAACTGTCTACTGAAGACAGACATTACACAAACAGGTAACACATGTACACTTAGATGAAATTAGGTCAAGAAGGGACAGGTATTATTATTTTAAAAAGCAAGAACTGGGATAGGATAGATTATTTTAGACAAGGTGGCGGCCAGTCTGAATTGAATTAAATTACAAAAGGTTGAATATATGAATACACACATGCTTACCCTACAATTTGAAACACAACATCTTGTCAATAGTTCACAGTACATTTGAAAAGTAACCTTCAGCCCAATGATTTACTTAATACTTTACAACCTTCATAATGTGTACTATGTACAATGTCTTTTCCCAGTATATCCTTGAAAATAAATTACTTTTTAAATATACTTTAGTGTAAGTGGATGAGGTATACTGCTATAAGGTACTATTATTTAGAAACCAGGTTAAAAATTGAGGCATGTATTCCAATATTTATTTATTTGTTTATTTATTGATTGATTGATTGACTGTGGTATTGGGGATGGAGCCCAAGGCTTTTGCACATGGTAGGCAAGCTATATCCTAAGCGTTATATTCCAATATCAATAGTGCACTGACACAGATAAGTATACATTGACATTAGATGTATGACTCTAGAAGAATATTTGGTAAAATGTATCAGAAGCCTTAAAATGTCTTTCCTTTTGCCTAATTACCCACTTTTTGTGACTTAAGAACAAAAATTTATGTGGTAACATTTATAAAATGAAACAATTACAAACCACTAAAATAATATATTCAGGGCTGGGGTTGTGGCTCAGAGAGATAGTGCTTGCCTCACATGAGTGAGGCACTGGGTTCGATCCTCAGCACCACATAAAAATAAAAAATAAAGATATTGCATCCACCTATATAACTAAAAAAAAAAAATATTAAAAAATAATATATTTGGGCTGGGGATGTGGCTCAAGCGGTAGCGCGCTCGCCTGGCATGCGTGAGGCCCGGGTTCAATCCTCAGCACCACTTACAAACAAAGATGTTGTGTCTGCCAAGAACTGAAAAATAAATATTAAAAAATTCTCTCTCTCTTTAAAAAAAAAAAAATAATAATATATTTGGGCTGGGGATGTGGCTCAAGCAGTAGCGCGCTCGCCTGGCATGCGTGCGGCCCAGGTTCGAGCCTCAGCACCACATACAAAGAAAGATGTTATGTCTGCCGAAAACTAAAAAATAAATATAAAAAATAAATAAATTTTAAAAATAAAAATAATATATTCATGTGATATAATGCTAAGTTGTCATTTCAACAAGTTACTTCTGAAGACATGGAAAATATTCACAACATAATTATAAGTAAAAAAAAAAGAGTATATATAATTGAATATAAAATGATCCAATCTGGTGAAATATTCATTTGTGGGTATGAATTTTACATCTGTAAAGAAAAAAAGGTGATAAGAAGAACATAAACCCAAAAACAAAGAAACATTTACATTTAGGAGGTGGATTACAGGTAATTTTAAAATTTTTCTTCAAGCTTCTCATACTTTTCTATACTTGTCTATACTTCCATACTAAGACTAATTTTAAATGCTATTAAAATTGAAAGAAGTACACAAAATCTAGTGGACATATCCAAAATTATATTAAAGAGCTAAATGCACAGTCAAAACTAAAAGGAATAAAAATAAAGACATTGACATATACATTTCTGAATGGTGAATTGGGGGTAAAGATAAATTATATCAATAGTTATTATTTTAAAAATATTCTTAAAATTGTATTTTAAAGCAATACAATTAAAAATAAAATTTTAAGTCTGGTGTTTTGGAGGAAAAAAACATTAAGATACAATAAACTCAGCAATTTTCTGGCAAACAATCAAGAAAAAGAGAAAAGGGAAAATTAAACATGGATTTTTTTAAGTTAATACTACATTTCAACTCTTAAGTAAATTTTAAACCTTAAATGGATGACTGGCTTTTTATTTTTGAAAAGCTGGTAACTGGGGGTAGGCTCAATAATGGAGCACTTACCAGAGCATGAGGCCCTGGGTTGAATCCCCAGCATCACAGAAATAATTTTTAAAAATTTAAGGCAGCACAGTGACGCATACCTGTAATCCCAGCAACTCAGGAGGCTGAGGCAGGAGAATTGCAAGTTTGAGGCCAGCCTCAGCAACTTAGGGAGTCCCTATCTCTAAATAAAATACAAAATAGGGCTGGGGATGTGGCTCAGTGGTAAAGCATCTCTGGGTCCAATCCCCAGTAAACATCCAAAATTAAAGAGCTGGTAATTGAATGAGAAAATAAAAAGTTTGTTCAAAGAAATAACTTTTTACAAAGTCCCAGTGATTTAGCAGGTGAGATATTTCAACCATTCAGAGAAAACAGCACAGAAAAAGAAAGTTACCCCATTCATTTACCATATTCAAAATGTAACCAACTTGTTACTCTAAAGAGTACAGACATAAAACTTTTTGGATTAAAACAACAAAATTCTCTTTCTTTCTCTTTTGTGTTCTGCAGATTGAACACTGAGCGTCTCACATGGTAATAAACACATATTGAACCACTGAGTTACACCCCAAACCAAACAAAAAAATCCATCTTACATCATGTAACACCCTACTTATGGGTAAAATCTAAAGATTTTCCCATTAAAATTAAGAATAAAGTAAGAATAGCTAAAATAAATATTTTCAATGAACCTCCTTGAAGTTCAAGTCAGTATAGTTAGACAAAAGCAGAAATAACTAGAAAAGGCATATATATAAATAGTAAGTTTGAGCACTCAGAAAATTCAAGATAATTAACTCAGTGATAATTACTACAACCAATATTTAGAGAGTGCTTACCATATCAAATGCAGAATATAATGTACCACCACACTTGATCCTCACAGTGTTTACAAAAGGAAAGCAAGAGATTAGAAAACTGCCAGGCATGGTGGCGCACACCTATAATCCCAGCGACTCCAGAGACTGAGGCTGGAGGATCGAAAGTTCAAAGTCAGCCTCAGCAACTTAGTGAGTCCCTAAGAAACTCAGTGAGGCTCTGTCTCTAGACAAAAAAATTTAAAAGCTGGGAATGTAGCTCAGTGGTAGAGTGTCTGCTTAGCGTGCACAAGCCTGTGGGCTCAAGTTATTGGGTTCAATCCTCAGCAAGACAGGAGAAAGAAAAAAAATGAATTAAAATAAGAAGTGAGAAAGGTTTTAAAATAACAACTGGAGTTACACCAGCAATTTGAACTCAGACAGTCTGACTCCAGATCCTGTAATGTTATCCACAGAGTAATACTTCCTCCACATTTCCTTTCACATCTAACCATCTAATTTGTATAAAGCCAACATAAAGGACAAGCATTGATCCAAGATCTGAACTCACCAGAACTGGCCCAAGCAGAGACTGCCAAAGCAAGGGTAGCAAAGACACAGGCTTCCTTCATGTTTCCATGGGCAGGGAATGTGTTTAGTTTTAGTAGTTACACCAGAGAGAAGAGCATTTGTCATATAAATAACTGCTGGAACCCCTCCCTTACTGGTGAGTGACTACTCAAGGTGATTTGTATATTAATCAAGATATATCATCTGTACTGTCAGGTGCCAAAGATATTTCAGGAAAAACTTGAGTTTAGCACTGAAAGACATTTTCAAGAGATAAGCTGTATTATTTATCACCTGGAACATTTAGACATATGCATAATGACTTGGCATGAAAGAATAAAACATCAGAAGGAAAAACAAACCTGTAAAGTATTTGAAATGTGCAGTCAGCAGACTGTAAACATGTAAGCTGGAATGCAAGTCACTTACAGCAATTCAGTAACTTAAAAAGAAAAAGACATATGAATGACTAGCAGCCTCCTAATATAGCCTCTCCTAACTTCACTCTAAATAAATATAAATAATGTGCTAAAAAAGCGGGGGGGGGGGAGGGGTGGCTGAGGATATAGTTCAGTGATACAGCACTTGTCTGGCATACGCACAGCCCTGGGCTCAATCCCCAGCAATGGATTAAAAAAAAAAAAAAAATACAACTATCTCCTAGATTGAGACACAAATTTACTGTTAAATCTAGGAACCACGTTCAGCAACCCTAAGGTACAGAGTCAGCCGAAGAAACACAAGCCTGCCGCATGAGAGATTCCCAAGGAGAACAGCCCTGGCCAACTTTAAAAAAGGAGAGAGGCACTCTTTAATTCTCTGGATTAGAGTCTGGGCTTATATCAACTTGAAAACTAGGAGTCGGCCATCTGTAAAACACAGATGTGGTTTTTCAAGAGAGACTCTATTTTTCCTCATTCTCATCTTTGCAATCCAAGTTCAAGCTTGAAGCTTGTGGTGGTGAGAGTCCTGTGGTGGTGAGTCCTGGGAAGAACACACCTCAGCGCATAGCTGATCAAGATAGGGAGGGGAAGAGCTTTGGCAGCAGGGCATACTGGAAAGAAGAGTCCTGGAAGCAGGTTAAAAAATTCCATGTCTATGTACCCAACAGGTACCACATTAGCTGAGAGAAAGGAATACCACCAGATGGACCAGGATTCAAAAGCAAACTACACATCCCTGACATTTGACTACACTACCTCCTAGTAAGAGGATGGATTAATGGGGAGAAAATATAATCTGCTGCCTATGAAAAAATAATGTAGCACAAGTGTAATACAAGACTATGCTGAAAAGCAAAAGTTTGTATCTAAAAATAATTTCCTATGAAATCCACAAGAACTCCTCCACATTAAAACTTCACAATATATTGATCTTGATTTTAAAAAATACACTACTCTGATAATGGGGAAGGCTGTGCATGTGTGAGGTATGGGGTTCATGGGATTGTTCATGTTCCTTCCTCTCAATTTTGTTGTGAAACTAAAAATGCTCTAAAAAATAAAGTCTTAAAAAAACACTATATGAAACAGGTACATAAAGTCATATATAACTGGCTGAGATAGGAAGACAACATGGAATAATGAGAGGCAGTGCTAACTGCAGGAGAAAAGACGAGCCATTATTCCCATCTTTTTGTGCTTTTCTTCTGTATTCTGGGAGTCAAGTTTGTCCTCTGTATTAGAGAGAACTCCAACAAGATTTTCTGGTTTGATTTCTATTCTATATCGCCTCTAATGTTTATTTTAATTTTGCTATTGTGTTTTTGCTTCTCAAGCTAATTACCTTTTTTAAAATATATGTATGCCTTTATTTTATTTATTTATATGTGGTGCTGAGTATTGAACCCAGGGCTTTACCTGTCCTAGGTGAGCACTCTACCACTGAGCCACAACCCCTACTTTCTTTTTAACCATATCATATTGTCTTCCTATCTCAGCCATTAATGAAGATACATGACCAATAAAGTAGTTCTTATTTTAAATATGAGACGAATTAAATAAACTCAGTTCATAAATGTCTTCCTTCAAAATATCCAATCTTAGGGTACAAGACAAAAATCAGGATTTGGGGCTTACCTAAACTTAAGACCATACTCTTAAAGACTTTGCAGGCTTTTTAGGTAATTTCTGCCATTCTGTAAGAGGACTTTTAAGAAAAAGACTGACAGCCTGTTTTGTGTTTTTTGTCTGTTTTGTTTTTGTTTTGCTACCAGGGATTGAACCTGGGGGACTCTACCACTGAGCTACATCCCCAACCCTTTTTAATTTTTATTTTAAGATAGGGTCTCACTAGGTTGCTTAGGTCCTAACTAAATTGCTGAGGCTGGCTTTGAGATTCTCCTGCCTCAGCCTCCTTAGCTGCTGGGATTAGAGGTTTCCACTAAAACATCCAGCCAAAGACTTAATTTTTAAAAGAGCTGTGACTGGGTGGTAGGATTCAGAGTTAACTAATTTCCTTTCTGTTATTTTCAAATTTTCTGTTATACAAAAGAAAAATTACGCTTTTTATTACCTAAGTGATTTTTTTCAATTTCCTGAAAAATCTGGGCAAAGAAAAGATAGTGACCAAAAAAAATAAGCTTAAACTGGAAATAAGGTTTGGTAATAGCCTCTAGATTCGATAAATGTACAGAGGATATTTGTTCCTAACTTTTCTATCAGCCTTCTAAAGAAATCTAGGATCACTTAGGAGATTCACAGTACTATAATACAAAAATAAGGTAAGGACCCAGAAGAAGCACAGCCATTCTTATTAGTAAACACAAGAGAAATTCTTCCTACGGGTATTAGTTAAAGAGAGTTCCTTCTGACTTCTTTCAGGAAGCAATAGGTATAGTTTCAGAACACAAGGACTAGAACCTAAACTCTAGACCAACTCAAGGAGCCTATAATTTCCTAGTTACACAGACAAAGTAAAACCAAAACCTTCTTGAAATAAATGCCTTCCACAAAGCAGTCATAGGGTACAAACTGTGAAAATTGTTTTAAAAGAATTTTGATGTGACACATTTTTCCTCAAAATAAAATAATATATCACCTTAAAATGCCTCTAAGGAAAGCGTGCTAAAGAAAATGAATAAAACTTAAATAGATGTTTTTTTAAAAATGAAGAAATTTTAAAAGTCTAACACAGTGGCACAAGCCTGTAATCCCAGCAACTCAGAAGGCTGAGGCAGGAGGATCCAGTTTGAGGCCAGTCTCAGCAACTTAGTGAGACCCTTAAGAGCCTTACTCATAGACAGAAAAAAAAAAAAAAAACATGTTTTTTCTCTTTTTTTGCCAGAATTAACTAAACTCACATAACTTGTTTAGTTTAAATTACAAAATGATTTAGAAGCAGAAGACAGAAATGTCACTATTACAGGATAAATTCTATGTTTTGGAAAAAAAAAACATAAGTTACTATCTATATTTTCTCACAAAAAATATGGACTAGATCTTATGGATCTTACCAGGTGATTCCATCTGCTTGATAACTGCAACCTCTGGGTGTTCATCTAAGAAGAAATCTGGTAATAAAGGCTGGCCTGAAAAATTGACCCCAGAATAATCATGTTAATATAACAACTACAAGACATTAGGATTTTCACACCTGTTTAATAAACATTATCATTTTATTTTAAAATCATTCTGGAGAAACAGTAAAGGCTTCTGGGAGAATTATCAAACTACTTATTTTCATTAATGTTCCCATAACCTAGATATCTTCTCCCATGACTCAATTCATTTTCAAGATCTAGTTTTAAAAAACACCTTTATGTGAAGTCTTTACCCTCTTCATCCTTACAACTCCTTCTGTCCACAACTCAGCTCACCTGGCCCCTAAGAGCAGGGAGGCCCTCATTAAGGAGGACTTGCTTCCCAGATCAATGCACTTGGGTCTTTTCTCTCTTCCTCTTCTTCTCACTCTAACATCATGTAAACTAAGACATCTTCTTCTCCTAGACCTTTTTTCAGTTAACAGTTGTGCTTACAAATAAATTAATTATCTTAACATCACACTGATACCTTTCATGGCACATGCATGGAGGAGATTCAAAGGTCACAAAACCTTCAAAATTGTAGGAAAATTAGATGTTAATTCTCTCACTCTCTCTCTCCCCAACCCCTCTCTCTCTGTTTTTCTCCCTCCCTTCTCTGTCTTTGAAAATTAAACAAACTTCTGGAAAGCAAGAATTAATTGATATTTGTTATATCTTAATATCAGAATAACTGGTCATAATAATAAATTCTCAGTACTTGATAAGATTTTTAATTGAAACCTAACTTAAAAGTTTGTATAAAATGACATTGGGTCTTTAAAACCTGATGTGATCATCATGCTGTACCAAGACCCAGAAGACAGGAGTCTGGTTCAGGTTCTGCCACCTATTAGCCATCAGCCCTTAGGCAAAGGCTTCATCTCCCTCAGCCTGTTTTTTACACTGGACTATTTTAACTACTAAATATTGTGAGTGTACTATATGTCAGGTACTGTGCCAAACACATTATATACATTATTGCACATAATTCTACAAAAAGCCTATATGGAAGGTATCATTTGCTTCATTTTCCCAAAAAAGAAACTGGGGCACAAAGAAAGTGGGTAATATGCTCAAAGCTACACAGTAGCAAGAAGGAGAGTCAAATTTGAGCCCGAGTTGTCTTTCCCCAAATTCCACATTCTTAATCATTACACAATATTACTTCTCTCGCAGGATTGCTATGAAAGTTAATTAGATAATGTATGTGAAAGTGAACTAAAGAGACAGGTAGGGATGACACAAATCTAAAAATGTAGTTTCTGTCAGCTACAAGCTCAGTTTAATGATTTATATGCTTTAATACAAATAAATATAACCCCCATTTATGGCTTGCATTCATTCATTCACTCACTCATTCATGCATGTGTATGAGACAGTGTCTTACTATATTGTCCAGGAGGGTCCCCAAGTGCTAGGCTCAAATGATTCTCCAGCCTCAGCCTCCCAAGCAGCTGAGACTACAGTCATGTGCCATAGCACCTGGCTTAGAATACACTTATTATATAAAGTAAAAATCCAATATCATCATCTTCTGCAATTTAAGAGAAAGTTATTTTTTAATAAGGGAGCCTTCTGCAAACTTCTCAAATCAGACTGCTATACCTAAGACAGTATGATTTCATCAATGCAACTTCACAATCCATCATTAAGGTATTAGACACTGCACTTAAAAAAATAAACACTTGGGTTGGATGCGGTGACACACCACGTAATCCCTGTGGCTCAGGAGGCTGAGGCAAGAGGATCTCGAGTTTAAAGCCAGCCTCATCAAAAGTGAAGCACTAAGCAAATCAGTGAGACCTTGTCTCTAAAATAAAATACAAAATAGGGCTGGAGATGTGGCTTAGTGGTTGAGTGCCCCTGAGTTCAATCCCGGGTAACCCTCTCCCAAAAATAAACATTCAGAATGAGTCCACAGTCTTAAGTTTGTAAAAAAACAAAACAAAACAAAAAAAACTACTGTACCATCTGATACATATCCTTGAATAAAATCCTTACTCTGATTTTAACACTGACTTTAAAAACTAATTTTCATTTCTGGTTTCAAAATCTGAAAATGGCCAGTAGCTGATTAAACCCTTCTGCGTCACTTCAAAAGGCCTCAACTCACTTCTATTTGTCCTTTCTCTCTTTTTTCAAATATTGTTAGTATGGGTTTTCCACTTCATTGGAAGGACAGCTTTTAAAAGAACATATTCATTTTATGATCACACACACACACACACACACACACACACGATGTAATCATTGCAAAAAATATGGAAAAACACATCACTATGTTAAAAAACTACAAGTATTACCTGGTTTAACTGCATAGATGTCAAAATTTTTTATTCCTTCCTCTTTTAAGATATTTTCATCAATAACAAAATTTCCAGTAAAACTTTTTGGCTTTTTGAAAATGGAATATGCAGCATCTGCGATGATATCAACTTTTCTACATTGGTTTTCAACACCAGATCCTCCCAGCATATCCATGGCAGCTGTGTGTATGGCTGTAGAAAAAATAGACACATGTACATGTACATAACTCCAAATCAAACAAAAGGACTGTGGAAGTAACAAGCAAGCACCATCCTTCAAAATTACCAAGACTAATCTCTTTATTCCTTAGATGATAAAAACAAGGTCCAAAAAGGTAAATGTTCTAGAGAAAGAACAGGGTAGAAAACACATATTCTTTACCCTATATAATGCTTCCCTACAAGGACTCCCTTAGGAGAATCACAGATAGAGATTTCTGATTTAGGATGTTCAAAAATTTATCTGGCGCCAGGCACAATGGCACATGCCTGTAATCCCAGAGGCTCAGGAAGCTGAGGCAGGAAGATCGTGAGTTCAAAGCCAGCCTCAACAATTTAGCAAGGCCCTAAGCAATTCAGTGAGATTCTGTCTTTAAATAAATATAAAAAAGGGCTAGGGATGTGGCTCAGTGGTTAATGCCCCTGGGTTCAATCCCCAATACAAAAAAAAAAAAAAAAAAAGGATTCACCTGGCATTCCCAAGAGTCAAGAAAACCTATACGGTATAACAGAAAATGCACTTAGCACCAAGGCACATGAGGGGAATTTTAAACGAACATCTTTGGTCCTCAGTTTTCCATCTCTAAAACATGGAGCACCCTTTCCTAAGTTTACTGCCTCTCTTCCCCCTGATTTGAAAATAGAGACTTTGTTTCTCTTGTTCATCACTGGATCCCCAATGCCTGAAACAATGATGAAAGCCCACAAGCATGCTTTCATACTGGCAGGATTTGGGAGGGTTATTTTTAAATTCATATAATACTAGTTTATAGAAAAATTTAGAAAAGAAAATAAAAAGAAGCAAAGGAAGAATCTGTATATGTCGGTTTGAGTGCTGGTGACTAAACCCAGAACCTCTACACTACCAGTCCAAAGAATTTTTAAATATAATCTGCAATTTTTGATTTTCACCATTTGGGTTTATTTTTTTATTGAACCCATGGCATTTTACCACTGAGCTACACCCCTAGTCCTTTTTATTTTTTATTTTGAGACAGGGTCTCACTAGATTGCAGAGGCTAGCCTGGAATTTGCAGTCTTTCTGCCTCAGCCTCCTGAATAGCTGTACAGATACTTGACCAAAGTCCATATTTCTTATATGAAGTAATGTGTGACTCCATGATGAATGGTACATTGTTAATTATATATTGCCGAAAATTTTAACATCTCAAATCTGTTTATGTATATTTTAGTTTACACAAAGCAATGAAAATCAATTTGTTTCCATGTACTTTCTTTTTTATCTTTTTGGTACCAGGGATTGAACCCAGGGGCGCTTAACCACTTAGTCACATCCCCAGCCCTTTATATTTTTTATTTGAGACAGGATCTCACTAAGTTGCTTAGGGCCTTGCTAAGTTGCTGAGGCTGGCTTTGAACTTTCCATTATCCTTCATCCACCTCCTGAGTTGTTGGGATGACATATGCCCCTTTGCCCAGCTTGATTCTACGCACTTTAGGCTTGAGTTTCTAACAAAACTTCTCTCCATTCCATCATTAAAACAACATATAAAATTATTACACACTTGGGGCTGGGGCTGTAGCTCAGTGGTAGAGTACTTGCCTCACATGTGTGAGGCGCTGGGTTTGATCTTCAGTACCACATAAAAAATAAGCAAAGATATTGTGGCCATCTACAACCCAAAAAAATTTTGGAAAAAAATTATTACACGGGCTGGGGATGTGGCTCAAGCGGTAGCGCGCTCGCCTGGCATGCGTGAGGCCCGGGTTCGAGCCTCAGCACCACATACAAACAAAGATGTTGTGTCCGCTGAAAACTAAAAAATAAATATTAAAATTCTCTCTCTCTCTCTCTCTCTCTTTCTTTAAAAAAAATTAAATTACACACTAGAATAACTTATATATACTTTGGTCTGTAAGATAAAATGTTTGTAGCTTATAAGAGCCACTGGCTCTTTTTCATTCATTCAAAAAATAGTTATTGAGTACTTAATTCGAGTCAGATATTACTTAGGGAAAAAGGAGTGGACAAGAGACATAAACCACTACTTTCACAGAGCTTATGTCTGCACTTCAAAAGAATGCTCAAGTAACTTAGGGGATTTCATAAAAGCATTGAGTTAGAAGATAGCTTTCTACCTTATAAGTAAAGTTCATTCACTAGGAGTTAATTTGTTTTTCTTTCTTTTTTTTTTTTACTTAATCAATAGGTTTCATCCTTAAAGTGACATCTTATTAATTAAAAAAAAAAAAAAAACAGCAGCTAACATTCATCAAATATGCCTTGTGCCAGGAATGCTGCTACACACTTTTACATACATTATCTGAATTCTTAGAACCCAAGTGTTAGATACTGTTATTTCCATTTTAAGGATAGAAGCACTAAGACACAGAGGGTTGGGACTTATCCAAGGTCACAGGAGCTAGAATTCAAGTACCTGGCAGCCTGACTTCTATCTACCTCAAGCGTTAACCAAGTTCTTAGAATTCAGTTATTGTCCCATTCCTATAAACTGCACAATTTTTCCCAAAATATTTCAAGAGGGCAAATCTGGAGACCATTATACATATTTGTATATTCCCAATTTCAACGTAGACTATATGAGTGGCATGAGAATTTTTTAAAATTCTAAATTAGAAGACTAATATGTATGTCAATTTGGAGGTATAGTTCAGGAGTAGAGTGCTTGCATTGCATGTGCAAGGCCCTGAGTTTGATCCCAAGCACTACCAAAAAAAAAAAAAAAAGAATATATCAAGTACAAATATGTACATGCTGTGTGTACATGTACACATGTACAGAACATAAGAACAAGGAATGGTTCTCCAAAACAACCTATCGTTAGGTTTAACAATCTTTCTAGAAAAAATACAAAGAAGGCACCAATAGAGGCAAACTGTGGAGCTATGGAGCTATTTTTTTCCTTTCTTTTTTCTTTCTTTTATCTTTTTTTTTTTTTTGGTCATGCTGGGAATCAAACCCAGGGCTTTACACATGCCAGACAAATCTCTCCCTATGAGCCACATTCTCAGAGGGAGAGAAGGCCCAAGTCTTCTCAGAATCTCAAGATTTTGCAATAACAATAGGCTAACTCAACAGAAAATAAAAATTGATAACCAAAACAGCCTATAGGATCAATCAAATAAAACTCACTGATGACCTCTGGGAAAGAAAATGAATGAGTTTGTTATGAATACAGATAAGACTTGGATCACAAGTAACTTCAAAACTTGAGTCTTAATGTTTGTTTCTAACTTTTTCATTACTGTATAATTAGCTATCCATTTAGTAAATATCAGCTATTATCTTGTCTAAAAAAAAAAAAACTTGAGTCTTATTAAGGAATAATTGGAAAGATATTGAATAGTTTCTGATTGATTCTCCTATTGACAGCTTACTCAAAACAGTAACAAGAGTTTAAAACCAATCAAAGATTTCTTTTTATATAAACATTGGAGTGCATATCAAGCTTAAAATATCAGCGCTGCCTTCAACTCCTTCTCTGGTGAAAGAGCTTGCCTCACTTCTCAACACCTGCCAGCCCTCACTGCCCCTCACCTGTACCTGTGCTCACTGACCCAATGATGTCACTGATTATAAAGAACAAAATTTACTTTATGCACAGCTAAGGATACAAAAGAGCTGTCAACTGAACTATGGTACATCATTAACTGCAAGGTGAATATTGGTACCAGAGATGTAAAACATTTTGATATCACAAATGTAAAAGTGTAAAACGGGTATCTCAGATTCAACAAAATATAATACAAAAGCTGTTGAACTCAGTCAGTGAATAGGTCCCTGGAAAACCAGGGGGATTTGTTTTGATTTCCAGCACCAAAGTGGAGGAGGAGGCAGCTGCCACGCTGTCTCCTCACCCTCCCTGGTTAACTGAGTTCTCACATCTGTTTGTAATGTGATCCAGGTATCAGAGGCCTGCATAGAAGTGATACTTTAGTGACCTTCTTCTTTGTTGTCATTACCAGATCAGCAGTTGCCCTTCCCAAACTCCTTATCCCAGCCGGCTCACATAAAATCCAACACAAAGTGGACTTTCCTGTTTCCACCACATGTGTTCAGACCAGTTAGATGGAGGAGGTACACAACATTTTGAGTAGCAGCCAGCTTCCCTTGTCCCCTCACCCTACACCACAACAGAAACTATGAAATAGGCCTTATAAAAAGAAAAAAATTATAATTCTAGAGGTGATTCAAGATAGTCTATCTTGACACTATAAGCATACATGCATACTCTCAGACTCAATGTAAACTATATGAATCACATGAAAATTCTTTGAAATTCCAAATTAGAAGTCTAATTAAGAGTGTATTTGCTGAAGCTGGGCATGGTGGTATATGCATATAATCTCAAGCTGCTTGGGAGGTAGAGGCAGGAGGATCACAAGTTTGAGACCAGCCTGGGGAACTTAGTGAGGCCCTGTCTCAAAACAAAATTTTAAAAAGGGTTGGGGATTATAGCTCATGGTAGAGTAACTACCTCATATGCATAAGGTCCTGGGTTTAATTCCCATAACTAAATATATATATATATATATATATGTGTGTGTGTGTGTGTGTGTGTGTGTGTCAGAAGTGTAGAGTGCTTGCCTAAGTATGTGTATGCCCCTGGGTTCCATCTCTAGCACTACAAAAGCAAATAAAGTCAAAATACATGTCATGCCCATATGTGTATGTGTGTAAGTGAATGATCTTCAAGGCATGAAACCATTAGAGGCCTGCTCTCTGATTCTTCCCTGGATGTGATGATTTTAGCAGAGTGAAAGTGCTAAAGCCAGGAAGAGCAATGTCACCAGTACCAAGCCAAGAGGTCAAGCAGGAGAGCAAGGCGCTGCTCTGATGAAAAATAATATATGTTACATGGTATCCATTTCACTAAGTGCAATAAATCTCCTTTTCCTTAAATGGCAATCATACTGTGAGATTACTTCTAGCTGACATAGTCAGTTCCAGCTGACACAGTCTTCTACACAGCCCAGGATGAGGAAATGTG